AATCTTGAATTTTAAGTAATATGCATTAATAAACAATATGTTACAAATAAAAAATAGTTTTTAATATTTTTTGTCAAATACTTTATAATATAGTATAGATATAGATATAGATAGGGAGGAAATTATATATGTAGTTATTTCCGCAAGTTAAGCCTGGAGTGATGGTCAATAGGAATGATTATATATATGTATATATAGCTTGAGGTATATTCAAAGTCAACAACAAGAAATCTTGAAACATACAAAAGTCAAACTTTTGGAAAGCTTGCAAATGCATCTTTCTTTACCTGATGTAACCACCACTTGGCCACCCACTACAACTATTCCAACTTCCCTTTTTTTAAAGTGCTTTGTTAATTATTTATTTATTCATTTTTAAATTATGGGTTTTGATTTTTGATCGATTATATTCAAAAAAATATAAAACAAACAATGTGAGAAGATAGAATATAATTATGTTGTTACTTTTTAAGACTTGAATGTCCCACTCAATCTCGTTTTTTTAAGGAGCCGTTTATTCAAACGCTTAATCAGGAAACATTTACTCGTAAGCGTCAAAACTCTCACTTGTCTTATTAGGTAAGATTCTAGTCTATTAAAACGACATCATATACAACAATTTACCCGATGAATGCTAACTAGGTAAGAGTCGTGACTCTCACCCGATCTTTGTCATCATTCTTATCGGATAAGATTCTCGCTTCTTTTCATGTTTATCCAGAAAAATAAGTCACCAAATAAACGCTTAATGAACCACCTTTATTTAAGTTTCCCCCCACTACATTAAAAAAAATCTCCGTTAATATTATTCTTAATTTGTCGTTATACTATATATCATTGGGTTGTTGCGTAGAACAGATTATGGTACATTAATGTAGTGTTGTGGTCTTCGATTTCATGGTAATAATTAGTTGTGCAAATAACTTGACCTTTTGAGATCCATAAAGTGAGTTCAGATGTATAAAAACAACACATGAAGCTACAGTTTTAGCTTTAATGTATTTGTAACTATTTTAGAAGTCAAAGTAATCAAGAAGAAGCAAACAAAAGGGTATGGAGTAGTGATTGGAAGATGCTTTTTCTTGGTCACTAATTGTACAAATAAATGAATCATATACATATATATATATATATATATATATGTATCTATACTATATTATAAAGTATTTAATAAAAATTCTTAAAAATCATTTTTTATGCATAAAGTACTGTTTATTGATGCATATTACTTAAAATTCAAGATTACAAGTAAATTGTGCACAAGTACAACTGATTAAAGCTTTATGTTTGGATTCGTGTAACTAACTATATATAAACATAATCGGATAGAGGATAAATATCTCATTTTAAATATAAAAAATTTAAAATATAATTAGGATAATCATCGATTTCTAACAAAATACTTGATCATTATCTTTATAAAAAATTATATTATTAAACCAAAAATAATAAAAAAATTAATTAAAGAAATACATAAAAAAGGAGAAATTTTAAATAGTTAGTTTGGTACTAAGATCAATATTTTTTTTTTTCAATTTTTGATGATATTGTCATATTTATAATTTATTTAAAAATAAAACATCATCGTTTTCTTAAAACCAGATAAAACCGTATTATAACATCGACTGAGACAAAAAAAGAAATAAAAACGAAACATTAAAATCGAGATGTATCTCGCTACATTATGCGAGTATTATTCTAGTATAAATATATGTGTATAGGGTTGGGTTCACGTGAGACCCATGATTTTTCATAAGACCCGTAAGACCAGTTTATGTTCATTGATCGACTTTATAAGCTAATAATCTGATGGTCTAAAGTTGTACGGTGACAATTTTGTGATTATTGAGAAGTTTCGTGGCGTTTATGAATGTTCAGATTGTCATATTGTAAATCTAATACAAGGGTTGAGAATTAGTCTTACGGGTCTCACGAAAAACCTTTGGTCTCACATGATCCCAAGTTTATGTATATATATAATATATATATATATATATATATATATATATATATATATATATAAACTCTCACACGCATATGTAGAATCGTGTGAGGACAGTCGTTATAGGGAAAATGGTAAGAACACTAAGGAGCCGTTTACCAAATGTTTACTTGGGTAAACGCTTACCAAGTTATATTATCTTACCGGATGAATATAGTAAAGACCAAAA